GGGCCTGATTCTTCAGCCTCTACACCAACAAATAAGACTTAGATGGGAGTTTGGATGCACAAGAAAAGCAGGATTGGGTAACTAGAGGGAAATGGTTGGACAAAAATGTAATTAAAGAATACAGATCCCGAAACTACATACAATTCTACCATTGTCATTCTCCTGCTTAGTTTCTGCTCTGTCTGCACCATCAAGTGAACGGAACTCAAAGATAGTTATCTACAAAGATTATTTTAGGTTTAAGGACATTGAATTACTCCACTTAGAAGTTTAGAATACAGCACATTCAGTGATTTACTCTGGTTTTAATGTAAAATCTGTATTGTGAAATGTTTGCGTTCCTTGTTTTCCTGTAAACAAGTACTCTGAAAAGCTGTGAAAGCTTAATTTGAAGGCATTTGGACATATCACTTACTAATTAAAGAAGTGTCCTGAGCAGAGAAGTTAAATATTAAAAGGACTGATTTTTGACCAGAGTTCAATTTTCCTGTCCCATCTCAAAACAGAACTTGTAGAAATGTCAGGATTGCTATATTATTAATTTCCCACCCAGAACTCACCAAAACCAGATGTAGACTCCTTACAGACTGTGGCCAGCACCTCAGCTGTGACTTGACCATTACAGTAGCACCTTAAAGACTAATAAAACATGTAGATGGTATCCTGAGCTTTCATAGGCACAACCCACTTTTGTGCCCACGAAAGCTCATGATACCATCTATGGGTATGTCTAGACTACATGTTTCTTTCGAAAGAAGCTTTTTCAAAATAATCTTTTGAAAAAGCTTCTTTCGAAAGAGATTGTCTAGACAGGTACAGCTTTTTTGAAAAAGTAATTCACTTTTTTGAAAGAGAGCACCCAGGCAATCTTGAAAAAAGGTGTTCTTCCTCGTAAAATGAGGTTTACCGCTGTCAAAAAAACTGCAGAGTTCTTTCAATTTAATTTCAAAAGAACGCAGCAGCAGTCTAGACGCAGGTGAAGTTTTTTAGCAAAAAGGCCACTTTCTTGAAGAAGAAAAAAACCCCCCTGTAGTCTAGACATAGTCTGTAACAGGAAAAACTTAAAAAACAACAAATAGTCTTTAAGGTGCTACTAGACTAACAAAACATTTAGGCTAACTCGGCTACCCCTCTGAAGCTTTTGACCATTACAGTTTACCCCAGCTGGGATCTGCCCCCTTGTGTACAAATGGTTGAAAGCATCACTAGTAGTTGGTAATCCTGCAGTCAGCCTCTCTGCCAAATAACTCAGATTTTTCCAATAACATATTATAGGCACTATTTCTAATGCCACATCATTATATTATGCTCACTGCACCTTTTCCTGTAAAGGCTTTTTATATCATATGTGCAGGTACATCTTGTGAATGTGGGATGTGAACGATTAGTCGACAAATCACTTCCCCCCCCCCCCCTGCTGCCCCTGTCAGAAAGAGGCAAAAAGGCGGGGGGGGGGAGCGAAGCCCAGGGCCAGCCGTTTTGAAACGCCACGTGGAGCCTGATGCCAGGTCCCTAGCTGACTGATTCCCCAGCTGACCCTAGGCTCCTTGTGGCACTGCCACTTTGAAACACTGTGGGGAGCACAGGGCCAGTGGGGGTATGCTCGAGTCCTCCACTGGCCCCATGTTCCCCACAGTGCTTTCGCCTTTGAAGTGTAGCAACCGTCATGGGGCTTCAAAGGCAGAAGCGCCCTTATCGACTAATCAAATAGTCAATGCAAGTTACATCGACTATTCGATTAGCCCATTAATCTAAATTTAACATCCCTAGTCTACATTCTCCTCTGAATAGGAGATTGATATAACAGAGCGAGAGTATGTCTACACTGGCCACCCTAGTTTGGACTAGGGTGGCTTATGTAGTCATTCGAACTTACAAATGAAGCCCGGGATTTAAATATCCCGGGTTTCATTTGCATGTTCCCAGGCGCCGCCATTTTTAAATGCCCGGTAGTTCAAACTACTGTTACTCCTCCTCCTGCAATGAGGAGTAACAGTAGTTTGAACTACCGGGCATTTAAAAATGGCGGCGCCTGGGAACATGCAAATGAAACCCGGGATATTTAAATCCCGGGCCTCATTTGCAAGTTCAAATGACTACATTAGCCACCCTAATCCGAACTAGGGTGGCTAGTGTAGACATACCCTGAAATACAAGATGTTCCAGTCTCTTAGGGTATATCTACACAGCAGCATTAAAATAACAGTGCATCTACACAGCAAGCCATTATTTCTAAATAATGGTGAGCTGGAGGTCTTCTTACTCTGACTCCTGCAACCCTCATTTTTCGAAGAGTAAGGGAAGTGAAAGGAAGAGTGTTCTTTCTTCAACTTCCTGCTGTGTAGACAGCACCAAAAGCCAAATTAAACTATTTCAACTTCAGCTGCACAGTTGACGTAGCTCAAGTTGAGTAGCTTAATTCAACTTTTGCCCTGCTATGTAGACATGCCCTTAGGGCCTAACAGTTCATCACAGAGAATTAAAGCTGTATGGATTCCTTCCATAAGCTCTCCCATAGTTCTCCAGTTTAAAATGTCACATTTATTCCCAAGTCTCTATGTTATAGAAACACACCATGTTTTATGTGATAGAAACTTTACTTTCTATGTCATGGGGGAGGGGGGGTTTGCAGGGAAGGTGGTTTTGAAGCTATTCACAGTAGCTTCAGAAGTCACAAAAATGATTAGAGGTTTGGAACAGGTCCCATATGAGGAGAGATTAAAGAGACTGGGACTTTTCAGCTTAGAAAAGAGGAGACTAAGGGGGAATATGATAGAGGTCTATAAAATCGTGACTGGTATGGAAAAAGTGAATAAGGAAAAGTTATTTACTTATTCCCACAATATAAAAACTAGGGGTCATCAAATGAAATTAATAGGCAGCAGGTTTAAAATAAACAAAAGGAAGTTTTTCTTCACTCAGTGCATAGTCACCTGTGGTGATGCGGTGAAGGCTAGAACTTCAAAAAAGAGCTAGATAGATTAATAGAGGTTAGGTCCATCAATGGCATCCCTAGCCTCTGTTTCTCTGGAAGCGGGTAAAAGGGGAGGGATCACCTATTGCGATTCCTCCCTCTGGGGTATTTAGCTACTGTCAGCAGACAGGGTACTGGGCTAGATAGACCTTTGGTCTGACCCAGTATGGCCGTTCTTATGTTCTTATGTAATCCATTTCTTTTTAAATTCACTTGAGGCCCACCTCTGCTCCCAATGAAATCACAGGCAAAACTCCCAGGGTATGTCTAGACAGCAGCACTATTTCGGGATACATCCAATATCCCAAAATAGTGTTTTCCACATCTTAATAGCACACCCCCAACTGAAATAAAGGGCTTGCTATTCCGATGGCCTGGTAAACCTGTGTAGACAGCACCAAATTTCAAATTTCAAATTTCAAAATAAGCTTGAATTAGGCTACGCAATTTGCATAGCTCAAATTGCATAGATTATTTCAAGCTAGCACAGCTGTAGACATACCCTCACTGAAGATATCGAAAAGGCTAGGCTTAATTTTCTTAAATTTGCAGCAGTTCTTCCAATTTAGTAATAATTTATGCATTCACGAACTGATTGATTTTTCACACTTTCCTACTTTTCTGTTATTACACGTATCATAAAGGGCTCTGTATTTTGGTGGTGGTTGTTTAAGATACAAGTAATAATGTTACTAGCAGCTAAAGTATTTCCCACTGTCTGTATTCTCTTTCATTCATAGCACCTCTTCAATTCATAATTTTATCGTCATTCAGTGAAAATTTAAATTAGCTGCAAACAAGAGTTTGAAGTATGTAAGACATATCATAGAATCTCAGAATACTAGAACTGGAAGGGACCTTGAGAGATCATCAA